AATTTAACCTTTTCATGCATGAATTTCCATCTTTGATGGTGAATCATTTGTTCAAATGAGGATTGCAGCAAGTATTTCTGGCCCTTTAATAGCCAGACATTGAAAACACTGCGTCTTCCTTTGTGTTATTAAAACTCCTTGAGTTTCATTTCACTTGTATAAAACTATGGAGAAGGAAGTAGCTTCCCGTTCCAGTATTCTTGCCTGGGAAATCCCAGGGACAGAGAAGCATTATGGGCTACAGTCCACAGGATCGAACCCAACTTAGTGTCTGAATAACAAAAACGGAAAGACTTGTTTCAGCGCTCATTTCAGCAGCAGAGATACTTGAATTGAAATGATACAGAGATTAGCATGGCCCCTCTGCAAGGATGACACACAGATAGTAAAGTATTCTGTGTTTTTGATGTTAACTAAACTTTATTGTGGTAATCATCTTACAATATATACATGCATTCTTATGATGTGTACCTTCAGTTCAGTTCATTTCAGTCACTCAGTTGTGTCCGACTCTTTGCGACCCCATGGACTGCAGCACGCTTGGCCTCCCTGTCCATCACTCCTGGAGCTTGCTCAAACTCATGTCCATTGAGTCGATGATGCCATCCAACCAGCACATCCTCTGTCATCCCCTTCTCCTCCTGCCTTCAGTCTTTCCCAGCATCAGGGTCTTTTTCAAGGAGTCAGTTCTTCGCATCAGGTGGCCAAAGTACTGGAGTTTCAGCTTTAGCATCAGTCCTTCTAGTGAATATTCAGGACTGATTTCCTTTAGGATTGACTGGTTTGATCTCCATGCTGCCCAAGGGACTCAGAAGAGTCTTCTCCAGCACCACAGTTCAAAAGCATCAATTCTTTGGCACTCAGCTTTCTTGATGGTCCATCTCTCACATCTATACCTGACCACTGGAAAAACCATAGCTTTGACTAGACGGACTTTTGTTGGCAAAGTAGTGTCTATGCTATCTGGGTTTGTCATAGCTTTTCTTCCAAGGAGCAAGCATCTTTTAATTTTGTGGCTGCAGTCACCATCTGCAGTGATTTTGGAGCCCCCCAAAATAAAGCATGTCACTGTTTCCACTCTTTTCCCATCTATTTGCCAAGAAGTGATGGGACCGGAATGCATGATCTTCATTTTTTTGAATGTTGAGTTTTAAGCCACTTTTTTACCTCTCCTCCTTCACTTTCATGATGTGTACCTTAAACCAGTAAAAATGTTACGTAGATTATGTCTCAAATGAAACTGGGAGAAAAAGTGAATATATTTTGAAGCTATCCACACATTAACAACCATCAGGACTGAGTTAATGTTTAGCATGCTGTTGATATAATTTTGTAAATAAGATAATACCTTACCAGGTTTTATTTTGTCTCTGATCATTTCCTGGGTAATTTTTACCATTCAGAAAGAAGACATTTCATAGATGACATACACACAGTGTAAGGAAAAAATAACTCCCAAAGTGTGCATTTATATTTCCTTAATAGCCCAGCTTAAAGTGCTGTTTCTTACTAGACTGTATTTAAATGTGTACATTTATGTCTTGGGGAAAAAAAAAAACCTGAATTGAACTTTAAAACTCTGCACAATCGGTTATTAAATATTCAAGTGATACTGAAATCCCTGGTCAGAATAAAGGACTCCATCAGCAGATCTTGTAGACTTTCCTGATAGTCCTCCAGATTGATCACTGCCTACAAATCCCATCCCTCCTCGTCTCCTTTTGTGCAGAAAAACTCTGCAGTCAGTGGCTCCCCCTGTCAACTCCACTTCACTACTTCACATGTTAGAAGTTTCACTCCTCACCCCAAATGCACATGTGCATACACACACCCCGACCCCTGGATGAGAACATTTTTTACTATCAGTCTTCTTCTTCCTCATCTTGTTTCTGGGGATCTCAGGACACTGGGGGAACTGTTTAACAACTTCTCCTTACAAAACGCTGGGGAGCTCCTTATAATACTGAGCCTAAGCATTATGGTCCCCTGATGAAATGTATTAAATAAAATATATGTTCAGATACTGCTCAAAATGCATATAATCTATCCCTAAAAGAAAAATCCCCCACAACTGTTACCATGCCTGATGTCTGTCTGTGCTAGCATGGGAAGCTGTCTGTGACGTAGTATGATATGCAGACTGCAAGTCATAATCAATGGCGTGCACATTTTTACTTCTTTCTACACCCATTCAACAACAAGTTCTTTTAATGCATTGATTCTATAGCATACATTGTAAGTTTCGCATTCTGTCCCCTTGATCAGAATTTTTTTTCTGCCTAGGGAGCTCATTTATTATTTCAGAATGTTACTGAACCGTAATCTGGGAAGCTCTGCCTGTTTCCCCAGACATGACTAGTCCGTCTCCTAGGTGCTGGGGCCCTCTGCCCTTACCCCTACTGTCTCACTCATAACACTGTCTGGAAAGGATTTATTTATATAAACACCTGTTCTCCTACTCCACCGTGAGCTCCCATCACCCAGCCCCAATCCAAGAAACTAACATGCCCTCTAATGAGTGGAAGAATGCTTGTTTTATTACTTCATGTTGCTCCAGGCCATGCATAGAGCATTTTAAGAGTCCTTTTATTTCTTGTGTTTGATAAAGTAACATCAAATGTATTTTGTGATTACAGTTCTTTAACTCATCCATATGATTATTGAGATTTGCTTTAAAAAACAGCTTTATTAAGGGATAATTTATGCACTTTACAATTCATTCATTTTACATGTATAGTTGAGTGGTTCTTAGTGAATACAGTCCTACCGTCATCACAACACTCTAATTTTAGAACTGTTCTTTCACCCTAAAAAGCTCCCATTTGAGGTACTTGACAATATTGCTGGAACTGTCCAGAAACTTCTGTGTGGTGAGTTGAACTGGATGACCTCAAAATGTGTTACCGTCTTTTGCTCTCAACTGTCAAGCACAGCACGCTGAAGTCGGGCCTGCGTACTGAGTGGTGCTGTGTCCTGAAAGAAGAGCACATGCTGGCAACAAGGGACACGGTTTCCTTTCAGGGCCTGCTCTGTGCTGGCTGTCTGTGCTTGGTTCGTTATATATATCACCTTATATGAGATTGCAGTCCCTTGGGCCGCACGGAGAGCCAACCAGTCCATCCTAAAGGAAATCAGTCCTGAATATTCACTGGAAGGACTGATGCTGAAGCTGAAACTCCAATACTTTGGCCACCTGATGTGAAGAACTGATTCCTTGGAAAAGACCCTGATGCTGGGAAAGATTGAAGGCAAGAGAAGTGTATGACAGAGGATGAAATGGTTGGATGGCACCACTGACTCGATGAACATGAGTTTGAGCAAGCTCTGGGAGCTGGTAATGGACAGGGAAGCCTGGCATGCTGCAGTCCATGGGGTCGCAAACAGTTGGATACGACTGAGCGACTGAACTGAAGTATATGAGGTTACGGTGTTATAGAAGGAGGAAGATTGGAGGTGCTTCAGGCCAAACTCTTTTCTTACAGTGTCTCCTTTTTTTTACCTGGAAGATTTGGTGACATCAGATACTTCTGTTGAAACCATCCCCCTAGGCTTTGAAGACACCACTTTGTCTGTTTAGAAGTTGGCAGTGTGTTCTTCTATTATAACATGGTGTCGGTTCAAATTCACGTCCTTCCTGGAAAAGTGTACGCGGCAGCTCAAAAGTTGACCTCTGAGTTGAGAGTTCTGCAGAGCAGTTTCTATGTTGGTGAAGCCTGGATGCATTTTCTTTTCTTTGAAGTGTTTCTAGGAAAAAAATGCTCTCTTTGTCAGAATGCTATTTTGATTAAGACATAATGTTATTCAAGATAGCTTGAGATTCCTGTGCCTGGCATGCATGCAAACTTCTCTGGAACAAAATAGCATTTGTTTCTTCACGGACTGATGGTATGCAGGAGTCCAGAGTTCATGCTCCAACTTAACTGTGCTTAACTGTGATGTGGCCTTGACTAAACCAGTGGATGTCTTAACTTTTCTGAGTTAATAATATCTTAAAACAGAGTTTAGAAGTATTAATAGTTTCTCTCATCACAGTATATATATTTCGGCAACAGTCATGAAATCCTTTAAAAATGAGGGTATACGTGGAATTCCTTGGTATTCCAATGGTTAGGACTTTGTGCTTCCACAGCAGAGGGCCAAGGTTCAAGCCCTGGTCAGGGAACTAAGATCCTGCATATTGCTTGGCTCGGCCAATAAGGAATAAAAATGCTGGTGCCCCTTTCTTCATTGTTGGTTACCTAAGATGACAGATAACATCAACTTTCTTTAAGGATACATTTTACTCAAAATTAGCTTGAGCAAGAGGAGAAATACGTGTGAAGATAGACTTAATATTTGCCTACGTGTCACTTAATGGCATTCTCCTCAAGGTTTTTTGTTAGGAAAAAAATTATTTGATCTGTTAGGATTAGAAAGCTTAAGTAAGTTTGGTAGGCAGGATATTTCTCGTAACATATGTCATTTACTGAGAATGTATTTTGGGAGACATGGATTTCACCATAAATCCTTACTTATTTGAAGATCTCCATGCCAGTATTACATTTCGGGCAAGACTAATTTTAGCCAGGTTCACTGAAAGTGTGTTTCCAGTGTTATCTCCAGTAATTTCCACTGGTCCCTTTTTATGCACTCTTGCAAACATTCAGTCAGGGCCGCTCTTGCCTTCTGCAACGGCCCGTGCTTCTGTGGAGTGTTTCCCCCAAGGTCGCTCTTGCCTTCTGTGTGGCCCATACTCAGTGGAGTGTGTTTCTCTGTAAGTAAGTCCATCTCTTAGCTATCAAAAAAAAAAAAATTCATTCAGGTTTTTCTCCAAGAAGGTATGGCAAAACCCAATTGAAATTTCTGGCCAACCCGATATATAAATCTATAAAATAAGCTGCTGTCTGTAGAAGTGAGGAACAGCTCAGTGATTCCCCCCTTGTGTGTGTGGGCAAGTTCTCTCCACTCTCGGTGGCCTGCATCCTCAGTCACCATGGATGTTTTGTTTTTCTCTTTCACAGATGACACGGCTGATCCTGCCTGGCATGGTAGAAAGGTGAGTCATAAGCTCACACACAAACACTCAAGCTCATGATTATTTATAGGGAGAATCCTTTCTTTGAAAATTTCATTAAAGTGACTAATGAACCTCTCCTCCATGTCTTGGTGACAGAGTAATGTGCCAGGCGAGTCACACGGTGGGGCATGAGTCATCCGGTGGTACAGGCCTTTTCCCCTCGATTCCCTTTTTATTTCCCTCACCAGGGTGTTGGTGGTTCCTTTCCATCAGGATTAAAAAGCCTGCCTGAGTCACCATCACTAACTCAATTGCCTGCTCTTCTGAGGGGGTGGATAGAGTTCCTGGGATATTCCCAGGAATGCCTTCTTAAAGTGGTATGCTGTCAGAGCCCAGCTCAGTGGAGTTTCATGAAGTGAGACTCCACATCCTCTGGTTTTTCTGTTATGGGAGAAATGATGTATGAGCAACTTAGGCATGTTATAAAGTGATCTCAAGGGGTCAGCCTCTCCCACATCCACCCTTGGAGGAAAAAGGCTATGTCCTCTAGCTTCAGCTGTATTTGTATTGGGTTCCACTAGGATTTGCTAGATGTCTTCCTTTCTCTTGAGAAATGTGTTGCTAAGTCCTTATGTTAGGAATAGCAGGAAGTATAAGATGGGAATTAAATTCTGTTCCTCCCTTGGAGAAGTCTGAGTGATGGCTAAGCTTTCAAAGAAAACCTGTTGCAGACGGATGGGCTTGCTTGGTCATTTGCTAAATTTAGGGTCTCACAGTCATCCTTGCTATGCAAAATGGCTTTGAGTTTGGGAGAGATCCACAGGAATCACAGCTTTGCAAAGAGCCAGGGACCCTACTTCCATGAAGGAGTCTCTGTGACCAGCTTCAGGCAAGGATTTACAGCTTATGGTTATCGATTACATATTCTTTGCCAGGTGTCGGACTGAGAACCCGATAAGTGTTTGCTTATATAACTTTGATAGCCTCCCACCATTGTACAGATGAGGAAACTGAAGTTCGGATTTGGTAGCTACTTTTTAGTAAGGCTCTTTGTTTGTAATTGCATTTATGTGTGATTTTTTGTGTCTTAATTGCTTTATTTTAGTAAAATTTCCCTTTAAAACCTTTAAACTACTACTGATGGTTGAGCATGCCCCTGATGGTCAGATATGAAAGTGATGGTGGTCAAACCAGACCAGAATCCGGAATGATTATAGAGAATTCGGGCAGACAGTGTAGAACTCAAGACGGATGAAATTTGGGTCATCAGCTTAATTCTAGTTTGGATATCTACAAGTAACACAGTATAAATTCAGGGTGGTATTCTACCCATTAAAAAAGAAATACTTACATTCCACAGAGGAATTTTTAACTATGTTGTTAAAAACCATATCCAAAGAGTTACTGGTTATGACGAATCAGACTTGAAGAATCATGGAATTTCAGTACTTGAATTGAAACCAATCCCCCCTCATTTGACATAAAAAGTGAGATCCAAAGAACTTGAGTGCCATGAGGCTACATAGTGAATTAATACATGATACAAAGTGCTGACACATCTCTGTAGACCTCGGAGCCACCATCACAGCTGTAACTGAAGCCTTAGATAAAGAATGCAAAGGAAAGGATCCATCCATTTCACTGAGTATAAAGTTTATCATATGGAAGATGAGTTGGATCCTTGTCTTTAAGAAATCAAATTGATTTTATACTGAGGTTGTGAAATGATCTGGTGAAAAGCTATCATGGGCTGAAGAACTAGTCAGAAATGTAAGGGGTTTTATGAATTGGTGCTTTTGGGATAGGAGAAGGAACAGGTCTGTCTGTTTGAATTAAAGGAGTTACTTGTTGTATTAGTCAAGGCAGGCTAACTGCTATAACAGACCACCCCAGAATCTCAATGACTTAAAATTCTCAAGGTTGATCCTCCCCTCACATCACAGTCCGGTGTGGATCAGTGGTCAGGCCTCTGCTCTCCACAGTCAATCCAGGGATCTCAGGGCTCCTTCCATCTGGAACTGGGGGGAGGGGGGCGCCTACCCTTCCCTTGGGTTTCCCTGGGGGCTCAGGCGGTAAAGAATCTGCCTGCAATGCGAGAGACCAAGGTTTGATCCCTGGCTTGGGAAGATCCCTGGAGGAGGGCATGGCAGTCCACTCCAGTATTCTTGCCCAGAGAATCCCATGGACAGAGGAGCCTGGCAGGCTACAGTCCATGGGGTTGCATAGAGTTGGACACAACTGAGGCCTTGCAGTTCTCTGCAGAAGTATCTGCACCCAGCCAGCAAATAAGGGAAGAGAGAGGAAGGATGATTTTACAGAGCATTTCCTGGGTCAGGCCTGCAGGTGGTGTCCCTGACTCCTGCACTCGTTCCATGGTCTAGAACTCAGCCACAGGCTACAGCTAACTGCAGGGGAGACCAGAAGCGTTGTCAGCTGTGTGCCCAGGAGGGAAGAAAGACTCCAAGTTCACAGATCATCTCAAAACATTCTTACTTACACATCATAAGTGATTTGATCATAGCCTGCCCTGGGAGCCATCCCCAAATGATCTATTTCCTATGGTTGGTAGACGTAGGTTTCTTATCTCCATTGAGGAGAAGCAGAGCTCTTTGTTGTGGTGGGTTTGTTTTGTTTTTTCCTTTCACTGATTCTACTTCTGATGCATGTGGCTTTCCACACTCTCTAGAACTATAGCCTAGGGCCAACTGATTATCACTAAACAAGTCAACAAGCCTCTATAATCAAACTAAGGTATTATTATTACCATAGAAGTAGAAAGCACGTAATTATGTTACGGAGGAAACTTGCTCTTTCCACGTCCCTGGAATTATAAACATTGTGTACAGCTGGAGCCAGGAGGTGGTTGCCATAACAACCATGGAACAGCTAAAAATAGCCCCTTTCATACTGTATTACTTAAGGTGGAATTATGACATGTTATGGTGTTTTAGGGCAGGCAGTTCTCTTTCATATGGGAAATGTTTGCAAACTTTCTTCAACAAAGCAATATTTGTATAATGTATTTGGATCACTGGTTCTAATTATATACCTGACCCCCGTGATCCAGGATTCTTTTCTGACATGGAACTCTGTTTTGATATGTTTCTCAGTCTTTTTGAGAACCTCTTAGAGAACTGTCTGTACTAATATTCAGTGTTATGTTTCAGCTTCAAAAAAAAACACACAAAAACTAATGACCCTCCAAGAGCAGACTTAAGTGCTCCCTGATAAGAAGTGAAAATATGAAGAACTGGGAGGCAGTCTTTTTTGCACAGCCCTCCTCTTTCTGCCATCACTCTCTGTATCCTGTAAGCTGTCCACATTAAGACCAAACTGTGTTCCAGTGCTGCCGAGCAATATTTAAGCCTCCGTCTCTCTCCCTCCCCACCTGCAGCGTGGAGCAATGATGAGAGTCCCAGGGAAGGTGGAAATCAGAGACTTGTTTCATGGGGGACCTGGCGCTTCCTCCATGACAGTCCTGTTTAAGAGCTGGGCACAAGGATACTACAGCTGTCTGACAGAATAGTGGGGCACATGTGGAAGAAAAGAAGCTTGGTAATTCTTTTATCCACGTGATCATTAAGGAGAGTTTTCTAATTGGGAATTTCACCGAACTTAGGAAATTCTAGAAAGCATAACAAAAGGAGGCTGCAAATGCAAGGAACTGAATTTCATAGGGATTGTGTTTGTTTAATGTCTGGCTTGTGGGAGGGCTAGTCATTGAAGAGAATATTTTTAGATGAAAAAGTGCTTCCTTATCAGCAGTGGTGTTTTCTCCTTTGTCTTTGCATTATTTTAATTCTAGTAGATCCTCAGTAACTTACGCCACTGAGGCACCATCGTGTGGTTGTTAGCAAGTAAGCAGCATGATGAATTAAGAAGGTTGTATCACAGAAAATATTACTGGACTTGTTTATTTGGGTACTTGTCATAACAAACTGGAAATGTTCAGAAATATGAGTATCGGGAGTCTTCATTATGGAACTTCAGCAAATATTCTTAATGTACCTTCCAATCTTAGAATTGTTCCCCAAGTCCCCGGAAAATGAGAGATTAGCCAGGGTTTGGTTTTATGTTTGTTTCTGTGTGCAATTAAGCGCGGCCCATTTTGTCCTTCTGCTTGATGTAACAGAGTTGTCGTGAGTCTGGCTGTGCCATGGAAACTAGTTTGACGTCACTAATTCTGCTTCGATGGGGGATTAGCACTAGATAGAGTAGTTGATTTCAGAAGCTAGTCCTTTGTGTGTCTCGGTCCCAAATGTTCACCGCCATCTCTACGTGAAGAATAGATACTGTATACAGCACAGAGAGTAAGACAGCTCTGCAAAGGTGCTGTTTGTGAGCCAGACAGAACTAAGCTGCGTATCATTATCCTTGGAGAGGGAGAGGGACTTGTGTGTGGGAGGGTTTTTGCAAGACAGACAAACAGGTGTGCTGCTCTGCACCTCAGTGTTTTTGTGGAAAGGGTGCTTTTTTCTCTGCTGTCATTTTGCCCCAGTGATAAATGCTGTCCGCTTTGTGTTTACTTAGATCTAACGCATTCTCTCTTTATACTTTTTAATGTATTTTTGGAATGCAAGTATTGTGTTTTGAATAAAGTATCTTCCAATTCCAACTTTTCACTTAAGTCAAACTAACTCTACCCCCTGGAAATTTTTAAATTAGGGTAGAATATTTGAGAAACAAAAATCTCACTTGCCTCAAGGAGTAAACAACTCAAAGCACATGCTTGCATAATTGTGGCAAACCATATTTGACTATTGGTCTGTATTAATTTTGCAAGCAGGGACAAGGTTTTTTTTTGTTGTTGTTGTTGTTTATTTATTTTTTCCATTTATTTTTATTAGTTGGAGGCTAATTACTTTACAATATTGTAGTGGTTTTTGCCATACATTAACATGAATCAGCCATGGATTTACATGTGTTCCCCATCCTGAACCCCCCTCCCACCTCCCTCCCCATCCCATCCCTCTGGGTCATCCCAAGGAACAAGGTTTTTATTATCTTGCAATGAACTTTCCTGTATTGAAATCATTGCTTTGGTGAGTGGCATTTTAGGAATCCATTTTGGTGAGGTCCAGATTTCCTTTTTAAAAATGGTTGTTTTTTTTTTTTTAATATTTATTTATTTGGTTGCATTGGGTCTTAGTTGCAGCACATATGATCTTCGGTCTTCATGGCAGCATGTGGGATCTAGTTCCCTGGCCAGGAATTGAACCCCAGGCCCCCTGCAAGTGGAGCTCAGAGTCTTAGCCACTGGACCACGGGGAAGTCCCTAAAAATGTTTTTAATAGCATTTAAACTTTAACTTTTGGAAGACTTTTAAATTGTATTTCACTTGTGAGAAAGGAGAGAAGCAGAATGTAAGATTTTTGTTCAAGGGCACATGCCGCCCTTTTAGTCAAATTGAGTATTATCTAGCCCAGAATCCCACTGATTAAACCAGCAGTGATCAGCTACAGTGAAAAACATCATCTTTTACAACTACTTGAATGGCTTTTCTTCCCTTGCTGTGATGAGTGAGGTTATAGCAGTTGCTGGTTATATGAGAAAATGTTAAAATAAAACACCACCTAAACTTACATGGATGCTTGGGGCTCAGGACAGGGTGCAAAGATTTGGGCTTATTCTCAGAAAGCAGATTGTATTGCAGGAGATAGCTTCTACTTGATTGGGATCTGCTTTTAGCTTAAAGGTAACACATTCTAATAAATTATAAATATATTTCGCTCTCTTTATATTTAGATTTATTGAGATATATTTCACATGCCCTAAAATCCACTTATTTAAAGTGTACAATTTGGTGGTTTATAGTATATTTACAGAGTGTATCATCACCACAATCTAATTTCAGAACATTTTTAACACCCTAAAAACAAAGATATTTTAAACATCATAAATTAATACTATATTAAAAGTCTCAGTAACAAAGGTGGTTTTTAAACCCTTTTAATCAAAGGAATTTCTCACAAATATAGATAAAATGAAATTACTAGATAACTAATTGCTAATTCACCTGTTTTTAATCTTAGAATAATTGGGTTCTAAGTCCTGATAGACATCCTTACTCTTAAAATTTAAAAAGAAAAGCCTTTTCTGTCTGTGTGAGAGACACAGGCAAAAACTACAAGAATGGTATGATTAATACTTTGACTAAATGTTTCGAACTTTCTTCAGAAAATTTGAGATTTGATTTCTAAGTCCAACCTGTTAATTGAGTCACCACTTAGGAAAGTGTATATTACTAATAAAGACTTCAGTTCAAAAAAAACAGAAGCGAAAAAACAACTCATTTTTAGTGACTCATTAAGTGGAGGGCCCAGACTTCCATTTGATGGTTGAAGTGGCATCTCGCCTAGAGGCTGGCAGATGGACTGAGTGACCTTTGGGGATTATTTCTTTTCAGATTTATGTCTAAAATAACTTAGAAGCCATTTGGTCTTGTTTCTTTTATTATTTTGCATAAGAAGGGCCTATATAGTCCTTTTAAAAAATACAAAAAAAAAAAAAAAAATGGCTTGGGAAGTAAATTCAGGCCAAGAATAATGAGAAAGATTATTTTGCATAAGAAGGGCCTATATAGTCCTTTTTTAAAAAAAAAAAAAAAAAAAAAAAAAAAAAGGCCTTGGGAAGTAAATTCAGGCCAAGAATAATGAGAAAGTAAGAGCTTCCCAGATAGCTCAGTTGGTAAAGAATCCTTCTGCAATTCAGGAGACCGCAGTTCTATTCCTGGGTAGGGAAAATCTCCTGGAGAAGGGATAGGCTACCCACTCCAGTATTCTGGGGCTTCCCTTGTGGCTCAGCTGGTAGAGAGTCCACCCGCAATGAGGAAAACCTAGGTTCGACCCCTGGGCTGGGAAGATCCCCTGGAAAAAGGAAAGGCTACCCACTCCAGTATCTGGCCTGGAGAATTCCATGGACTGTATAGTCCATGGGATCGCAAAGGGTTGGACACGACTGAGCAGCTTTCACTTTCAAGTTGAAAGAAAGGCTTCCCAGGTAGCACAGTGGTAAAGAATCCGTCTGCCAACTCCAGAGATGCAAGAGACTCGGGTTTGATCCCTGGGTAGAGAAGATCCCCTGTGAAGGAAATGGCAACCCACTCCAGTATTCTTGCCTGGAGAATCCCATGGGTAGAGGAGCCTGGCGGGCTACAGTCCATGGGGTCACGGAGTCGGACACAGCTGAGCAGCTGAGCATGAAGGATGAAGGAAAGAAACCTGATCTAGAGGGCAGGAGACAGGTCGGGTCCAGTCGAAGTTGCTGAATAAGGGGACCAACTCCCCTGAGAAGAGTGGATTTGAGGGCCAAAAGTTGGTTGTTAATTCTGTCGAAAATTCCCAAAACCCTAATTTCACACTTTACCCAAGCCATATACAATTGCTAACAATATGATTACAGATCGAGATATATAATTATTTGAAATAGAATAACCTGGCTGTTTTTCTAACCCACCTCTCTCCTTGCCTTTCATCAGCATGTGCTATGCTTGGTATATTTACAGCATTGCTTTTCTCAAACTAATTTTTACTTATTTGTAGAACGAGTCATTCCTGGTAACTTTCTGACTCTGAAATCTCATTAGTTTCTAAAAGTTATAATAGAAATTGAATTTTGCCTTTTGGCAAAAGAATATGATTTGGTGAACTGTGGAATAGCGTGACTTTAGAGTCAGCTCTTCATTTAGCACTTGAATGCCTACCACCTGGGAAGGTGAGAAGGCGGGGCATAACCATTCATTCATGTACGTACCTGTTACATGCTCACCACAGGCAAGAGTATTTTGAGGAGAGGTATAAGTTAAGAGCTATGATGTCGAGAAGCTGATGGGGTTTATGAGGGATAAAAATGTTGATGATCACAGAATGATTAAATGCTGCAGCACGATAGTATGTGACAATGTGCCAAATTAGAAGCATACCAGGAGTATGAGAGTGTTTTTAAGAGTGATAATTCTTGGTGCTATGGCCAAAGAAGACCTCAGAGGATAGAAATTAACTCCAGAAGACTGAAGATCGAATCTGGTCATGCCCCAGATTACTAAGACTGAGAAGTGAGCTAATTGCAAAGAAGAGCTATTTTTAGTTGATTGAGTTATGCCTCATTCATTGACCAAGCATAGCACATGCTGATGAAAGGCAAGGACAGAGGTGGGTAAGAAAAACAGCCAGGTTATTCTATATCAAATAATTTTATATATCTCAATCTGTAATTTGCAATTGTATATTTGATTTCACTCTGTTTACTTGCATCTTCTCTTTTTTAGATCTAAAGGGGTAATTCTGAACATCTCCTCTGCCTCTGGCCTGTACCCAGTTCCACTGTTGACCATCTACTCTGCAACCAAGGTGAACAGTTTTTTAGTAAATGGTGTCAGAAGAAGAATAAAGAATAGTTTTCAGTCTGAGAAACAATCGAGGGACTTTCTTGAAGTTCTATCTTTAGCCATTTTCAAATGGACTGAGAAGAAAAGGAAAATAGCCAACCCTAGTTTCAGAAGAGCCGGAGCTGGAGATTGACTGGTATCAACTTTACAACCGAACCGAGGCACCAAGATCTCAGATCCACATATGATTTTTTTTTTCCCTCACGGTTCACTGGTTTTAAAACTGGTATTTGTACTTCCAGTAGAGAGCTGGTCTGGGCCAGTTAGCTCAGTTAGCTCAGCTGATCAGAACATGGTGTTAATGAGTCTGAGACTGGGGATTTGGGTCATGAATGACTCAGCATACAGCTTAAGTGCCAAGTCCGCAGAGCTGAGTAGTAGGATTGCAGCTAGTCAGCACATAGGTAAACATGGTAGACACAAGATAGATGGGGAAACTGTGAATGTTTGGCAACATTATTCAAAATTCATAGATATTTACTGCCACTTCTGGAGTGAGACAAGAATTTCCAGAGCTCTCTGTGAGATTCCATAATTCTATACCACATCACCGTTCACCTCTTCACACTACTACCAGGACAGGGATTTAGAATGCATCTTATACTGCCTGCAGGTTGATAGCATTGTTCTCAAATACATTGTTGAAGCATAGGATACATCTCTGAAGTAAAGGTGACCACTGAGACGCTGCTTTTAGGGGAAAATGAGCAAACTAAAATGCACAGTAAGAACTTGCATTGTGCAGGGGGAAATAAAGAGCAAAATACCTGCCCTCTTTTCTCTTGCCTTTTGGCCCCTGGAAAAACTGAAAAGTACTGTATTTTGAAAAAGCTTGCCACCCCCGCCCCCACCCTGCAATCTACCTGCTTTCTATATCTCTGAAACATACAGTAGGTATGTTTAAAATGAACACCATGTTTCTTGAAGTGATTGGTGAACTTCTTCCAGCCTGTTCTGCTCCACAGACACAAGACTATTGATATTATTAACAGGGACTCTAGTAGAGTCATCATTGATACATTTCAAGCCTGAGGTTGAGTCCACGTTTGAAAAAATGGTATATTTTACAAATAGATTTAGAGTTGTTCTGTTGGAAGAAGATGGGCTGTCACGCTCATCTCTGCACTTCTTGGATCTTGCCATCCCAAAGGACAAAGAGAATGCATGCTCTTTTCTTCTCTTTACTGACAACAAAATCCCCGTAGAACAGACTTGAACAGAATTCATACTGTGTTTCTGTTCGAATGGCAAGTGGGGAAGAGGAATGTATCCTTTGTTATATAATAAGAGGTTTTTTCTTGGAAAGTAATTTTCTGAAAACAGAAAAGATAAGAAGAGCCTTTTCCAGTTCAATCAGAATTTGATTTAGATATTATATTTGGTTAAAGAATACTTAATTAAGTGGCAGATAAAGAAAACGTGAGGTTTTGAGTTTTTTGGTTTTTTTTTAAGGTCTCATCTTCATTTAAAGTGAAAAGAATGATTAGAAACTATAGTGTTAAATGGTTAGTTGATTATTTTTGTTTCCATGGCTACAGATCAGGCCGATTGATGTAATGTGTGTGTTCTTACTCCCACCCCCTCCCAGGCTTTTGTAGATTTCTTCTCTCAATGCCTCCATGAGGAATATAAGAGCAAGGGCATCTTTGTGCAGGTGAGTAGAGTTCGGTTCAGTTAAGTATCCCTGTTTTTGTGTGGTTTCCACAGCAACAGTTGCTGTCTTGGCAACGAAAGAAAATCACATCCCTAAGTAAGTGAATGTGACGTTAACACAGCGTTAAAGACATGGTTTCTTTTCCTCTATACCCTTAAGTCTAGATTTTGAACAGTTATTCTCTAGAATTTTAAAGCAATGACCCCTAAAGCAGAACTATGCAGCATAAACAGTTGGCACATAGTAATTGTAAGTGCTTATGGTTTTATTTTGAAAGAATTAGACCATCAGTATCTCTTAGCTGCCAAGTATGCAAGGAGTGCCACAGTTTATTAATGATAGGAGAGGAGAGTGCTGAATAAAGCTAACTTTTACTAAAGTGAGGATGACTGCATTTACCAGGTTGATATAGGTATGGTAGTGATTTTTTACTTTTTTAAAATTGTGGTAAAATATACACCAAAAGCACCATTTCTGTCGCTTTTAAGTATTCAGTTCAGTGCCATTAAGTACATTCACATTGTCTACAGCCGTCACTACCTTCCATCTCCAGAACTTTTTGCAGTTGTCCAAAACTGAAACTCTCTATCCTTTAAACAGTTGCTTTCCATTTACCCTCCCCCAGCCTCTGACAACCCGCATTCTACTTCTTGTCTCCAAATTTGACTACACCAGGTACTTCGTAGAAGTGGAATCCTACAGTATTTGTCTTTTTGTAACTGGCTTATTTCACTTAACATAATACCTTCAGGGTTCATCCATGTTATAGCATGTGTTGGAATTTCCTTTTTAAGGCTTAATGTAATTCTGTTACTGGTATATCTCACATGTGTTTATCCATTCATCTGTCGATGGACATTGGGTTGCTTCCACCTTTTGGCTGCTGTGTATAATGCTGCTTTGAACGTGGGTTTACACCCATCTTTTTGAGACCCTACTTTCAGTTATTTTGGATATGTACACAGATGGAATTGCTGGATCGTATGATAATTCTTTTTTGGAAGAATCACCTTCCTGTTTTCCACAGTATAATAGCTGCCCTATTTTATATTCCTACCAGCAATGCATAAGGGTTCCAGTTTCTCCACATCCTCACCAATATTTGGTATTTTCTTTTCGCTTGTTTTTAATAATAGCCATCCTTATGAGAACTCCCCAGGTGGCATAGTGGTAAGGAATCTGCCTGCCAACGCAGGAGACACAAGAGATGGGGGTTCGGTCCCTGGGCCCGGAAGACCCTCTGGTGGAGGAAATGCCACTTGCTCCCGCACTATTGCCTGGAGAAGTCCATGGACGGAGGGGTCTGGCGGGCTATGGTCCAGGGGGTCGGTGATCCAGACACGGCTGAGTGACCGATCTGAGCTGATGCCTGTGCGTATAGAGTGGTATCACAGTGCGGTTTTGATTTTGATTTGCATTTCCTTAAGGATTATTGATGTTGAGCATCTTTTCAAGTGTGTACTGGCCGTTTGTCTGTCTTCTTTGGAGAAGTATCTATTCCAGTTCTCCACCCATTTTTTCATTGGGTTGTTTGCTTTTTTATTTTTGAATTGTAGGAGTTCTAGATATATTCTGGACATTAACCCTTTATTAGATATATGATATACAAACATTTTCTCCCTGTCTGTGGGTTACCGTTTCACTCTATGGGTAGTTTCCTTTGGTGCTCAAATTTTTAAAGTTTGATGCAGTCCAGCTTATTTTTCATTGCTGTCACCTGCACTCCTGGTATCATGGCCAAGGAACCATTGCGAAATCAAATGTGAGGCTTTCCCCCTAGGTTTCTTAAAAAAACTTTATTGAAGTATAGTTTATTTTCCCCTTTATGTTTTCCTCTAAGAATTTTACAGTTTTAGCTCTAATATTTAGGCCTTTGATCCATTTTGACTTAATTTTTAGAGAGACCTTGGATTTTATTATGTAGTTAACAGATACAATGCTGTGAAAATACAATACAGAACATAACGAATCCAATGAAGGAGCTTTTATGGGTATCAGTCTCATATCAGCTATCGCTCAACACAAAGAAATGGCTCACAGTATTTTCACGGTTCAGTCAGTTCAGTTCAGTCGTTCAGTCGCTCAGTCGTATCCGACTCTTTGCGACCCCATGAATCGCAGCACGCACATCCATTTTCCATGGTTAGACACATTTTTATCAATGTCTTGGGAGATACTGCAATCCTTATCTCTTTCCTGCTCCTGTCCATGACCTGCGCCCACCTCTTCACACATCCAGTGGCTTTCCATTCTGTGAGCCTAGTATTTTCCTTTCTGCACCCTAAGCCCCAGATGATCAATCACAATACAAATAGCTAATGGTAGAGGGAGTACTCTTCAGGCACCACGCTAGGTACTTCATATGTCTCTGTGTGTTTCACGGCATCTCCTAATGATCCTAGAGTCAGTCACTCATTCGTGTCCGACTCTGCAGCTCCCTGGACTGGAGCCCGCCAGGCTCCTCTGTCCATGGGATTCTCCAGGCACGGGTGCTGGAGCAAGTTGCCTTGCCCTCCCCCAGAGGGTCTTCCTCACCCAGGGATCGAACCCACCTCTCTTATGTCTCCTGCATTGCAGGAAGGTTCTTTACCACTAGCACCACCTGGGAACCCCACTGAACATTTATTGGCTCCATCTGGTCAGGCAGAAGGTGCTGGGCTGTTTAGTTTCATTTCCTCCCTCATATCTTTAGGGTAAATATTTCCTCATCTTCCAGGGTCAGTTTAGAGCCCGCTCCTCTAAATGTCTCCTCCTTCCCTATCATAGCCCTCTGGTGTTACTCCAGTCTGCAGCCCCCCATGAATACAGGGTACCCTGGGAGGTCAGGGTTTTCAAGACTCCTGAATTTTATATGGAACTACTATACACACACACCTTCCCCTTCTCTTGACACCAGTTATTTTAATGCTAACAGTCTGAACCTGCTACATAGAATGTGTTGTATTTTGGTAACAGGAGGTCCGTAAACCACTCGGGAGGTCAGGCCTCACGTGCCACCCTGTGTCATGCCATCTTCTCATTCTGATGAATCAATTATATTCAAGCTATTAGCTTACAATTTTTAACTAATAATTTTTAAACACTGTGGAGACCCAGTAGGAATCTTAAAGGTCCATTGGCGAGTGACCTGGAGGCAGTGTGACCAGAAGCTTCCAAGTGTTTCAGTGACAAAAGGGAGTCTTAAGCCTTGTGAGTGCAGACGAGCAATTTCTAAAATTCCGTGAACAGACAAGACTGTTCCTTCTCCCGTTTCCAGGTCTGCTTTCCCTCAAAGATCTCTGCATATTCTCTGCCTGTTGATCTGTTGTGACCAGCAGCTACTTCAGAAACACATTAGCATTTGTTTCGGAAATATTTCACTTTGATAAACTTTTCTTTTCCCTAAAGATGAATTACCAGTGATGTGATTTCATTGGTCCCTGTGTTCCGTCATGGGAATTCACGCAAAGTTTAGACTTAGAGTGAACTTGGTGAAAAACCAGAAACTGCAGTGTTTGTGAGGAAAAGTACTCATTTCTGCATGAGCACATCAGAATGCTGAGGTAGAAGAGACTCTCATGTTAACTTTGACCAAAGGGATAAGAAAAAGAAAAAAAAAATCCAGTCTGAATGCAGCTCCCTTACAGAGTATTGGTTTTTTCTCTGTTTCTTGGGTCTTTTGGGTGAGGAGTATTCGTCAGCTGGTTTCCCTTCCACTCCTTCCCACGTACCGTTTCCTGGGCGATCTGATTCAAAACAAGNGTATTGGTTTTTTCTCTGTTTCTTGGGTCTTTTGGGTGAGGAGTATTCGTCAGCTGGTTTCCCTTCCACTCCTTCCCACGTACCGTTTCCTGGGCGATCTGATTCAAAACAAGCGAGATGTGTAGCCCTCCTCCAGCGTCCTCCAGTGGCAGCCCATCAGGTTCAGGATTGGAGTCAGACCCGACGAGGCCATCGCCTCCGAGCGCTCCATCACGCCACCCCGAATTCCAGCCAGAGCGGACGCTGTCGTGTGTGGCCCATGCTGTGCCCTCAGCGGCGCCCTGACTGGCTCCTCCTCTGCCAGCTCGGCCTCGCCCCGCTCCTCTGCCAGCCCCCGTTCACACCTCCTCCCTGCCAGTGCCCCGCGCCTCCATCAGGGCTTCGGCCTCGCTTCACCTGGGAAGCCCCATCTCAGCTGCTGGGCGCACGTGGTTACACCTTCCCTTTTGCTGAATTCTTTTTCCCTTTTTTAAAAGCTGGATTTGTTGGGCTGTCCTGGGTCTCTGCTGGTGTGCGGGCTGCCCTATCCTGCAGTGAGCAGGGGCTGCTCTCTCGCCGCGGAGCACGGCTCTAGAGCATTCGGGCTCCCTGTAGTTGCGGCACATGGGCTCAGGAGCCATGGCCCCTGGGTGCTGGAGCCCCGGCTGTCTCCTTGCGGTGCACGGGCTTATTGCTCTGCGGCATGCAGGACCTTCCCGGTCCGGGGATGGAAGCCGTGTCTCCTGCATTGGCGGGTGGTCTTTAGCCTGAGCCACCAGGGAAGGCCCTCTCTTATTTCTTATTACATATCTGTGTCTGATACTCTCTGGCCCCAAACTCCCCCACCCCCTCCCAACCAGTGTTTTCTTGGATACACTGTATCTAGTGGGCTTTTTATCATGTTTGTCTCTGTTGCTCATGGCACCTGCCGCGCGGGGCACACCAGAGACCTGCCGTCTGCTGGCCTCGTGCAGGACCCTGGCAGTGCCTGGCTGTGTGTGGTAACGCACAGTCCTCCGTTTTAAGGCCTGAGCTGCTTCTGTTGCTCGCATAGGCCTCTGGTCTTGAATTTTCAAATTCTCTATCTAGAGGGTTTCCAGGCTAATGCTATGATGTCAAATTTCAGTTTCTTCTAATCTTTGGAAAACAAGTTTCCTTCTAGGTCTGTGTCCACGTGGAGATAGGACAGATTGCTCTTTGGGAAGAGGGAGAGAGAATGTTTTTCAGATTCTGAATTGTTTTATATTCATTCTGTTGTTATATTTTTTTCTTTGCTTTGC